TTTTATATAATATATATATATATATATGTATATGACTTGATTATATATCATTGTATTTTTTATACTCCGCTATTATTCTTAATCCAAGATCGTAAATTAGCCACGTTCGTATAAACGCCAGGATACTTTGGCTGAGCACATTTATAACCCCATGACACGATGCCATAGAGAATTCCTCCAGCCACCATAGGACCACCAGAATCACCTTGACAAGAATCCTTTCCGCCTTGGGTGTAACCGGCACATATCATTCTGTTTGTGATTGTGTTGTAATTCTTATAAGCATTTTGACATTCGGATCTGCTCACTATGGGAAGCGATACTTTCATCAAATGTGTTGAAGTTGGTCCACCTTGCTGTAATAGATATCGTATACGAATTTTGAAAAATGATTATTATTGAATTTTAAAATAAAAAATACGACGTTCATTCATTAAAAATTTATATAAAAAATAGTGTCTTATATATTTTTTTCTTATTTGGATTGTAAGTCCAATATAATTCACCAATATTTCATTTTAATTAAATATTGAGTAATAAAGTTGTATGAAAGTAAATTAAAAGCTAAAATAAGGAATTTGGAATTTGGAAAAACGATTAAATTTTTCAACTGATTGATAAATCGTAAATAATTTTTCAACTAAAAATGTATTTTATTTGTTTTTATCGATACGTTCGAGATAAAATAAATTAAAGGTAAAATAAATCGTTGATTTACCTTAAGTGCGCCCCAGCCAGTTACAGTCACTATTGTTCCAGCTTTTGGTTCTGAGTTTGCTAGTTTTATAGGTTGAACATTCGAATTCAATTGTATAGTGCCATCAATCTGGATCAGAATTTTCGTAATTTCAGAATTTCTATTAATTTCAATAACTTCTCTGTCATTCCTTCATATAATTAAAGTGATATATGGCATATGATTGAAAAAATATTTTCAAAGTTAAAAAATTATTACTGACATCATACTGATGCAAAGATAAGGTGATCATAAATTATCGTATTAATCATCATCATTACTAATACCGGATGATTGACATTTTTCATTTTTTCTCTAGACGAAAGATAAATACAGAAATATTAAAATAAGCAATGCGTGCATTATTAAATTAATTTCATTCCGTATCTTCACGATAATTTAATCACGAATAACTATTTTTAATTATGATATGTTTGGAAATATATAT